TATATATATATATATATATATATAAGTTTTACATCTTTATATTTATATTTCAATATTTCAATATTTCAATATTAATATTTATGTTTCAATATTTCATTTGTAGAAATTTTGCAAATTTTTATGCGATCAAATCTACTCAAATGTAAAGTTAAGTTTGCTCAGCAAATAGCAAATTTACTGAAACAACCAATCCATTCTTTCTGCGCAAATTGCCTGTTTAATTTTCCACTCGCCATATTATTGATTGTTCCAAATCTCTGGCGTGTCAATCGCTCTCAGATATTGATTTATTCATTTCGACACTCTTTTATGTACCTGTATTTGATTTCGCCTGCGGTAAATATGTAACAAAGCGTGAATCCTGCTGTGAACATCAGAGGCAGGCTAATCAATGCAAACATCATCACTTGATAAAGTCCAAATTTATCTATAGCGTTCCCCACCGAAGTTTTCTCAATCCCTAAAAAAATTAATCATTAAGGAGGTGTGAAAATATAAGATTGAGGAAAAATTTCTGTGGAAATATTCATTCGATTGATCTGCGTTTATTAGAAGACATATTATTTTTAGACACAGTATTTTTCAGAATACTAAGAAAATGAGATACTCTCGCGCATGAGTTGTCGTTGATTACAAAGTATAATTTTATTTCAGAAAGAGAAAAATTACAAGATCGTAACAAGGAAAATCGCGTTTTGTATAATACATCGAGAGAAGGATATATTGTTATGGCTAACTTTGTACCTTCTCTTATCGTAATAACGCAGGTAATTACACGATATACTCAAGCACAGAAAGTACTTACGAATAGCGAGTTATATAATATTGAATAACGAGGTAGCGCAGAGCGTCTACGCGCGCAATTACAGCGCGATCTCTCCAGCGTCTACTTAACAAGCCGATGTTTATTGCGAATGTATACTTAGTGATTTAATGCCGCGCTAAGCAGTGATACTTAAACACGCTAACTGGAAGAACAATCCGGCTGAAGGAATGAATCCACCTTGATCCTCTCTCCTCGAGCGACTGATAATGCACGTAAGACCTCGCACAATTAGTTTATCTTATGCAACGAGGTCCGTCGCACATTCGTATATGCGTGTTTTCCAACAAAATATACAAAAATAAATGAAATAAATCACACCTTTTACCACGCTAACAAAAAATTGTATATAGATAAACAGAACATTCCTTTTTATACACTAATTTAACATTCAATGATATACCGATGAATTCCACGTCGAAATAATACGATTCATTTATTGCTAATTGTATAATATGGGAGAGAAGAGCTAATTCACAAGGTGCTGTTTATTAATAGCTAGTTTGTGTCTCATTTATGAAGCATTACGTCTCATTTACAGTTTGTGGTTTTAAAGTTTTAGATACGACATTTCTGAACAGTTATTATTTTTTAATGTTCCTTTATACTTATATACAGAGTGTCCCAGACTCTCCTTCTATTAAGTGGGAATGTAGAACGGCTTGAGGTGAACATAAAAATCCAATATCGTTTTACGATATTTGCAATAATAGTCGAGATATTAATTAAAAGGATTGTTGAATGATCACCAATCACGCGCAATATAGTAGATGAGTTGCAATAGCGTCGTCTGCCGTTATATATTTATATATTAAGTCAAACTGAACAGAAAAGTCCTTTACCATTTTGTAAATAACTACATAGATTTTTATTAATTAAAGAAAACTTGTGCATTATGGTACACAATCATATATGTAACAATTTTCTTTAATATTTAATGATTGTGTACCATAATGCACAAATTTTCTTTAATTATAATCAAAAAATCTATGTGGTCATTTACAAAATGGTAAAGGACTTTTCTGTTCAGCTTGACTTAATGTATAAGTATACAACAACAGACGGCGCCACCGCAGCTCATCTACTATATCGCGTGTGATCATTCACCAATCTTTTTTAATTAATATCTCGACTATTATTGCGAATATCGCAAAACGGTATTAGATTTTTATGTTCACTTCAACCCATTCTACATTCCCTTGATATGAGAAAGAGAGTCTGGGACACCCTGTATAATAAATATGCCAAATTGCAAATTGATGTTGCAAAGTTCCTTTAGAAAAAATTTTTGAATATAACTTATTTTATCGGATATCTAAAGGTAAAAAGTTCTTTAACCCTCCAACGTAATTTTTTCGAAAAATCCTTTTTTGAAAGGATTTTTTGTCACGACACTAACGAAGTGAAACAGAATAAAATAAGAGGACGGAGAAAACACGGCTTACATTGGGAGAAGCATATTGAAAACCACTTGCCTGCGAAAATCGCAAAAAAGAGCCAAATATCCAACCCGCGTAAATCACGGGTTAAACAGCTGGAAGGTTAATATTCCATATAGTTATATAATATAATTTCATTTTAATATCTCATTTACCAAACATTTCTTTTTTATTAAATAAAACCGCTTGATTAATATATAATTTCATTTTTACATTTTCAGAATTTTTCGTCTGATTTTCTAAATTATATTTGTTTTCAATAAAAAATAGTTTTACTAATAATCTATAATCTTTAAGAAATAGATCCTTTAATTAAAAATGATTGTAAAATAACCATGGCCTTCGGTAGCCCTTAAATTTCATAATTCTAAAAAAAAATTGTTAAAAATAAAATAATAATAAATGAGATAAAATAGCAAATAATAAAATATATAATACAATGAAGAAGATTTATGTAGAAAATGATTTATATTAGAATGTAAAATTTTTCTGGCTGTATTCACAATTCACTCTCTTACAGCATTCGAAAACCGTTACATGCATCTCCAATTTTCGCAATTACATCTGTTAAGAATAGTATCCATACCATTTTCTAATCCCGACGGCGCGTCGGCCTCGTCCTTCCTTGAGCCGCACAGCTTCATGCTGTCGTCCTTTACGTCCCGTAAGCTGAAATCATATTCGAAATTTATATCGTCTGTCACGGCGCGGTCCGATCGAAAGTTCACCCTGACGCTTTATGTTTCAAGTTTCCCGCGGGAGTGTCGCGAAATGAAAAATGATGCAGCAATAGTTGCGCGTCTGACTTGCGGTCGAGCCAATGACATGAAAAAACAAGATCAGCTTTTTCTCCTTTCGCTTTCACCGCGAAGGCGGCTACAGAAAGCTTTTACCCATAAAAAGTGTCGCGGCAGAGAGGAACTTCAAAAGCGACTCTTCCGCCAAGGCTACCTCCGTCGTTACACATAAACAACGTGTACGTACAACGACGTTACAGGTGCAGGTCGTTGGTGACGAAAGGATTACGGCGTGTGAAATAGAATTATCAGAGCGTAGTAATTAACAAGTGGAGGGAAAGGGAGCCGAAAAAAAGGGAAAATACAAAACTGTCGGAAACGCGACACGACAAGATGTTCAGTCAGCGGTAGAAAAATCGCAACATTTTTAACTCGATAAACTTCCAATTTGGTATCCAATAGAGAATTCGGTATCCAATAGAAAAATTTATTTCTTTTGAAAATGACTGGAAAAAAACAAGTTTCTTTATTAGAATACGTTACGCAACTTATTGAAAAAAATGTTGCTATCTTTCCATCGCTAATTGATGCATTCGTCACGCGCGATGGCACAAGCAGATAAGGCACATTGATTAAACAATTGCTTGGAGCGTAGTATAAGTACGTAAACTATTCTCGTTTTTCCTTTTCACTTGCAACCATAAGCATGTGCTAAATTATTATGTACAGAAATAGTCGTTGTCATTATCGTCGCAGAATTGCGATTATTGAAACGCTGTCGCAAATAGTCAATAGATAGACAGATGCACGTAAATTTTATAGCAACTTTACTAGTCGATTTGTAAAAAAATTGCGTTTTTTATTATTGATTCATATTTATCACGTAGAATGACGAAATAAAAATACAACAGAAACACAAAAAGAATGACCAAACAATCCTTAAAGCAATATGATTATGAAACAATATGCGAAAATAATGTTTTATAAAAACAATATATTATATAAAATATATTATCAAATAAAATCTGAATTTTTAATAAAGTTGTTGTTGTATAAATATAACAAAAAAGTTACATTATTGTATAATGAAAATTTAATAATTAATTCAATACAGTGAATTTTTTCTTATGATTGTAATTTAAAAAAGTTGTGGAGCTTCCACACGATTGTTCACGTTTCGCCGATTATCTCACGTTGTGATAATCATATAGTCTATTTCAATGCTTTATAATCCTTTTGTTACTACGAAAAATTTCACTATATATAACCCTCTAGATAGATAGCTGTATATAAATTTGATAACAGCCTTATTAATCGATTTGTTAAGGTTACATATCTAACGAATAGTTTATATATCACTCATATTTATCATATTGAATAACGAGATAGAAATATGAAATAAATATGAAAAGAATTACCAAAATTTGCTGAAAACAATATGTCATATAAAATCTAATATAAAACTGTAACTTTTAATAAATTTGTAACAGCATTAATATAACAAAAAATTATATTATCGTATAAGTTTAATGTATAACTATATTTCCAAAAGGTGCTTTACCATATATATAGAGTAATAAGATGGTGACTATAAATCTGTGTTCATTCTACTATATCTTTATGTTTAAATGAACTATAAATATATGTTTGAGGCCAAAACTAACTATAAAATATAGTGAGATTATAGTTATTCCAATTATTTTTTTTCTCAGTGCACATCGTTTTGCAATATTCGCAATAATAGTCAAGATATTAATTAAAAAAGATTGATGAATAATCATGCGCCATATGGTACATGAGCTATAGTGACGATATAGTATGCTATTATATGCTAACGCACCGGCGTTAATGCCGTCCATGTAACTCGCACGCAATGACGCGTCTCACTCACCACTGCTGCCTGTAGATGAGGCACGAATAGCACGAAGTGGCGGAGGGGGGTAGCGGTATACGATCGTCGGACGCTTGGAGAGGGAATAGTGGTGGGAGTCGCGGCGATCTTCCATCCTCTATCGCAGACGTAAGAGCGAGAGAGATAGCATTATAAGCGTGACAGAAATGCCGTCCTAAAATACGTGTGACGCACATTAAGAAAACACTCGACTCACACTGTCTCGTCTATATGTGAGCAATACGCGATGTCCCGACGACTGTTTCACTCGCTCGAACGTCCATGCATTTTTTCTTGTTAGCAAAAAAATTAATATAAATAAAATGTAATGTAAAAGGAGACCTTGGGGAAGGGTTTTAAGGAGGCTTCGACAAGTGCTTCTTAATAGCTGCTCTTGAAAAAGAAATATATTAGATTTATTTCAATACACTGAGAGAAAAATGTATGATATTTGGAACTATAATGGCATAGTAAAAATATTATAGTTAGAAATATAATTTTTATAGTAAATGTTACCATAATATTTGTAATATTTATAATATAAGTATAGTATAACTGACCCGTGTAAAATTTTTACCAAGAATTATAATTATTTGAAATAAAAAATATGGTAAGGTGGCAAATATTGAATGGTAAGAGAAATTAACTATTTTAAATAGTCAATACAATTGGAAAATTTGGCAAATATAGGTACATGTAACTCCGGCCCTGTCTACAAGAATGGGTAGACAGGGCCCGCGGAGAGCTGTCCTTCCGGACGACGCAGATACTCACCGGACATGAATGCTTCGGTGAGTACCTGCACAGGATTGGTAGGGAGCCTAACTCCCGCTGCCACCACTGTGGTGCTGAGGTGGCCTCGGCGCAACACACCCTGGAGGAATGCCCCTCCTGGGATGTGGAGCGCCGAGTCCTGATTGACGTGGTGGGAGCGGACCTCTCTCCCCCGGCCCTCATTAGGGCCATGCTTGGGGGAGACGAGAGCTAGTCCGCCGTCACCTCCTTCTGTGACACAGTCGTGTCACAGAAGGAGGAGTCGGAGAGGGTGCGGCGGGGCGAAACCGCAGCCCCCCGGGATGGGGTGAAGCACCGCAGAAGGAGAACGGCGCCTCGCCTACCCGCGCATCAGCGCGGGGTTGAGGGGCGGTGCACTTGTGGGCGGGGAGAGGACGCCACCGCTGGCGTTCCCTCTCCCGGGGTACCTGCAGGTGCGCCGCCGCCCCCTACAATGCCGCCGGGCCCTCCTGATCAACAAAGGGCCCGGCGCGGGGGAGATAGGAGGCGCCTGGTTGGGCGGGGGAGACGCGTCGCAAGGCACGACTCTCTCCCCCCCTCCCCGTGACAAAAAGTCAGACCAGGCGCCTCCGAGAGGGGGGCAGGGCGGCCTTGCGTTCGCAAGGGCGGACTGTTAGGCCGACCACCCCTCTTCCAGAGCCAAGGCTCCTGACCGAGAGGGGCGGAGGGGAACTCTTAGACCCCTCCGCCCCCACCAACCTCGGTCGGGAGCGTAGGGGCAGGCCGGGTCCGGACGGGATCGGACACGGCCAATAGCGCCCCTACAGGTGAGGTGTGACCGGACGGGGGGGCCCACGTCCGGTCATGGAGGATAGGAACAGCGGGCCGGGAGAGAATTATCCCTCCTGGCCCGGGAAGGGGGCGGGGTTTAGGTTTTCCCCACCCTGCGGCTGAGGGCGTCGCGGAAGTAATGCGCAAGCGGTTCCCGGGACGCCCTCGCAATAGCCGCAAGGGGCCCGGCAGAGGTTTTAGTGGGTAGGGCCCCCCCCCCGACCATTAGTTGCGGAGGAGGGGGGGAGTCCCACACTACCCCTGGGAAAGTCCCGTCTTTCCCGGGAGTGTGCGTAATGCATTTCCTCTGCCTCAAAAAAAAAAAAAAAGATACATGTAACTATATTCCCAAAAGGTGCTTTACCATATATATAGAGTAATAAGAAGACTATAAATCTGTGTTCATTCTACTATATCTTCATGTTTAGATGAACTATAAATATATGTTTGAGGCCAAAACGAACTATAAAATATAGTGAGATTATTCCAACAATTTTTTTCTCTCAGTGTATAGAATAATGAATCAATATAGAATACTGCAACAATACAGCGCTTGTATGGCTTGTCGAAGTAGAGTATTTTTAATTATAGTGTTGCATAAACACGCGAGATATAATTATTTCATATTTTATGCGTTCGAGTATCGTTCCATTGTTATAAAATTTAGTGGCCCTGGAAAAAACCGATTTTTGTGCCAAAGAAATTGAGATCGATAGTCAATAGTCAGTCAATAGTCAATTCAATATCCAGCACGGTCGATAATTTCATTGAATCGATTAGGTATCGAATCAATCAAGTTCACGAGAAAGTCGGGTCGAAGCCGGAGTTCTTCCCAGACAACGAACGAAAAAAAGCGGATGATGATAGCAGAAACGGAAACTGCATTTCTGTATCCATAGTAATAAGGAACAATAATTATTTGAAATAGGCGCAAAAATCGGCTCTTTTCAGAGCCACCAAATTTTATAATGATGGAAACGATACTCGAACGCATAAAATATGAAATAATTAT